GGCAGTCGAGCCTTCAGGGCGCCTGTCGTCGAGCTCCCATCTTCCGCCTGCTTCGGCCGCGCGCCCCCGCGAGTCGCAAGGGGGAGGGGCGCGCGATGGCGCGGGCCTGGCCGGTGGCAACGCCTGCGTAGCTCTACCGCTCACCTCGCTGTGCGCTGCCCTTAAGGCGCGCGCCTCTCCGGGGGGCGCCCCGACTCGCGGCGCGGGCGCTGCCCCCCAGGGGGTGGTCGCATGCAGATGGGCTCTACGGCGCGATCATCGTTCTCACAGTCAACGACGCGACGATGGAGGACTTGGCGGCGTTGCGGGGCGCGCAGATCGGAGGCGCGCGAAACCCCATTGCTGGGGCGGCAATTCCCGAGGACGGCGAGCACTTCGGACGACGCCTTCGTCGGGGCATCGTTCTCGGCGACGTTGGCAACCCTTTGTTTCGTGGTCCGCGGATTCCGTCGCCCGCTACTGGAAGTTAGTCTTCGCCGCGCTGTCGCCCCGATCGCGAACGGAGGTGCGTTGGCCAATGGCGTTCCGCGCATCCGGATTAAGGTTTCCAGCTGTCGCATGAAGGTGTTCATCGATGTCCCGAGCAGATTCATGGCTCTCGCATTCCACGCGAAGTGCATGTCTGATGGGGGCCGTTTACCTTTCCTGATCCAGAGGGTGGAGTGGATTTTGAGCTCTGCGTCAGCCGCGACCCCCTTCAGTCGTCTAGCAAGTTGTTCTACTATCTGGGAACGCGAGGCAGCAGTGGCGCAGGCCTTCGGGCAAGAGCGTCGGATCCACGGGGCTCCAGGGGGGCGGAACTACGCGACCAAAGGGGGCGCTCCAGTTTCTGTCGTGAAGATGTCCATTTTAGATGGTGGCCCTTCGGTTGGCAGTGTGAACGCGCTGGTGGGAAAAAAAAACTGGCTTGGCCGGGGTCGAGGGCGAAGCGCGCGCGCCTTGCCCGCGCGTCCGCTTCTCGGAGGTTCGCCCCTTTTGCCGAGCGCAACAGTTCTCTCGGGGGAAGGGCGCTCGACGGGGGCAGTTTTGAGGCTTCGGCGTCTAATGGCTCAGCTGGGCCCGCGTCTCCGCCGGAGGATAGTGATCGCGGTAGTGATGTTGGCGCAGCGTCGTGCAGTTCCCCCCCGCCGGCCGGGGTTGCCGGCGGGGTCTGTCGCCCGTCAACCCCGCTTATGCTCTGCGCGTGGAACGCTCTTGCATCTGCCGATGTCATCTCTTATCCATCTTCCAGAGCGAGCTACGGACGCGAGCTGGCAGCGAAGTTGCTTGGGAGGTATCATCCCAGGAAGCGCGCGGTTCCAGGGCAGACTTGGCCACGTTAGCTGACGAGAAGCTCGCGGGCACACTATATGGCAGTTTCCCGGGGGAAAGGGCGGCTGGAGGAGCTGTTGCATTTGTCCCTGAGACTCCTGTTGCTTTGTTCCCGCGCGCGGTTCCCATCGAGGTAGTAGAAAGGGGGGGGGGGGGGGGGGCCCATGCCGCCTTTTCCAGGGCCTGCGCGGGACTTCGCAATTGCGTGTGCGCAGCGCACGCGCCTGCCGCGCGCGATCGCATTCGCGCGCGTAGGCTTTATATGAAGGCGAGTCTGCCCGCGTTACCCCCTGCAGCTCACAGTCCGGCACTGCTTGCGGGAGATTGGAATTCTGCCCCGACGGCAGATGGGAGGTTTCTTGCGGGATGGGGGGGGTCTGGCCCTGGGGATCGGGCGCAGCGCGGCGTTTTTTTTTTACGCGGGCCGCGGCTCCTGGCGCGAAACCTTTCAGCCCGCTCCCACTTGCAGGAGCATAGTCGGCGGCGAGATTCGTGGATTCCCTCGACATGATAGGGTCTCCACCACTCTCCCCGCGGGCGTCGCCAGTGAGCTGGTCGCCGCGGCTTGCGCTGCGGGGGCGCTGACCTACGGGGCCAACAGGCTTCGCCGCCCCATGCCCCTGTTGTAGCGGCGATCGCCTGTCCCACATCTAGGGGCCCCGTCGCTGCGCCGAAGCGGGTTGGTCTGCGTGCTGGGTGCGGGGGGGTGGTTTTTGAGGGCGGCCCTGGGGACTGACCTTCCCAGGTGATTTTTCATGGCGCGTCGGAAGAGCGACGGCCCCTCTCGACGCGGTGGCGGCCGAAGTTCGGCAGTCTCCAGAGAATCGACGAGCGTGGAATGACGCCGGCCGCTTCCATGTCGCAGTCGTGGCATGCCGATGGTTGATACAGTCGGACCGAGGTATAAGATCGAAGTCGGGCCGGGGAGGGTACCCTCGTGTTCTTGGCTTTTGTTGGACGTTATTGTGCATCCTTGGGAGGGTACCCTTGGATGTTCTGTGCGTTTTGGCTGTCGAAGGGTCTCGTGTTCTTGAGGGATGTTCTTCTGGCCCAGTTCCGACTGTATGGGGCGGCAGTGGCATCCGGTCGCTCGGGAGCTCCGATGCCATGATGTCCTCTTTCCCTTTGTGGTGTCGGCCGCGGCACCTGCGCGGGCCCGACGGCCTGCGCTCTTTGATCTGTGCTCTGAGGAACAGATGGTTTGCGGAGGAGCGAAGGATTGCAAAAAAACCCTCTCCTGAACAAAGGATAGCAAAAAAACCAGGAGACCCAGGATTTCCAAGGAGACCCCGCGGCCTTCCACGGGCTTTTTTTGCAATCCTTCGTTCGAGCGAGGTTTTGCAATCCTTCGAGAAAGTGGAGCAAAAGACGGGGTCTGAGGAAGTTCGGAGAAGGGCGAAGAAACGTCTGTTGGCTGTACAGAGGGGGTGGCCTTTCACCAGACGTCGGATTGGATTGAGGGAGGCACTGGGAGAGAGTGGCCCGCCACGCCCGAATCCCGACGGCGCGGCCCGCGAGGTGGCCCGCCACCCGGGAAGCGCTTGTGCCCGCGCCCCGCGCGAAGAACAGCGCTGGCCCGCGATCTTGTCCCACGCGCAGTTTGTGGGCCAACTTCAACGCGAACCCACTTGGCGCCTGGATCAGGGCGAGTCAGAAATCCGCGGCCCCCCGCCCCTGGGCCCGATGGCGCGCCGCGTGGATGTTGGTGCCGCGCGGAGTGCGATAGCGGAGGTGCTGCTCATCCTGCGGGCCGTGGGGCCAGCAGAATGGCGTTCCCGCCGAGGGGAGGCGAGCCTGCCGATCGGGGTGTTTCTGTCTCAAGGCTGCCTGGGCCCACCCTCCCCCAGTCCCTCTCCGGCGCCAGCGCTGAGATCCTTCGGGGCGCGCCGGGCTGAATGAAGCGGCCCCGCGGGCGGCCAGGGGGCAGCGGCGGGGGGGCGCGAAAGGCAGCGCCATCTTGGACAATGTGGCCGTGGTGGAAATTCGAGGGCTCTCCCAGTTCATGCGTGGGTTTGATGAGGCTGGCGTCTTCTTTTTTGATTTTCGCGCGGCGTTCCCGATCCGGCGTGGATTTCCCGGGCCCCCAGGACCACGGGCGCCCCGCAGGCCACCCCCCGGGCGTCGCTCTCGACGGGGGGGGGCGCGCGGGGGGGGGGGCGGGGGGAGGAGGCTTTTTAGACGGAGCAAATTCGCTGGGTCTGCCGGGGCTCGGCGCCCAGTCGCGCGCGGAGCAAGGCACGGGAAGCCGTCGTCCATGGCTCTCTTCTTCTTGGTGTTGGGCTCAGTTATGAGATGGATCAAGCGCCGGCGCGCGCCCGGGCTTGGCCTGGAACTTGCGCGCGCCGACGATTGCTGCTCTGGTCTGCAGAATGCCCTTGTTGATGTGATGCCTGCGGTTCTCCTGTTCCCGGGAGGGTGGCGCGCAGGCCCTGCTCTGCAAGTTCGGGGGCCCCGCTGCAGTCTCGCCGGGGTCGGTGGCGCAAGACCCGTGGGGAAAGCAGCGGCCGCCCACAGTGCCGCCACTCCGCCCCCCCTGCTCCCGCTGCTGCTCCTTTTCCTGCTCCTGCCCCTGCTGTTGTCTCCTTTCCTTCGTCGTCGTCCTCCTCCTCCTCCTCCTCCTTTTCCGCCTCCTGCCCCTCCTGCTCATCCTCCTCGCCATCCGCAGGCGAGTCAAGGCACTCTTCTTCAGCAAGTGGACCGATCGGTCCGCATTTCGAGAGCTGCCATCAAGCTTGGTGCCAAGCTTCCCCCGAGATGGCCCAAGCCGACTCTTACAGATGTCGCATGTGTGTAAGCTTGCCAGGGAGGATAGTTAAGGTTTCCTCCTTCGAAGCCCACCAGTGTGCTTGGATCGTCGGGACTTGGTAGTGCGGCGTGTGCCCTCGGGGCCGTCGGGGGGTGTCTCGTCCAGGGCCTGGCCGCTGCGTGGCCCCTCCTCGACTGTGCCCCTGAAATTTTGGAGAAGAACGGCCAGCAGTGCGCTGTCGTTTACTGTGCTGACGGTTCATTTGTCCGTATCTGCCGCCGATGTGGCTTTCACCCCAACTCCAGAGTCTGAAAGGCCAACATCGGCGCCCCGGGGCCAACCCGCTGCACCCGGGACTGAGTGTCTGTCTGTCTGTCTGTCTGTCTGTCTGTCTGTCTGTCTGTCTGTCTGTCTGTCTGTCTGTCTGTCTGTCTGTCTGTCTGTCTGTCTGTCTATCTGCCGCCGATGTGGCTTTCACAGTTCTGGTGACCGCACCGTTAGTCTGGGTCAGCCCTGCGAGCTCGCCCGTGTCGGCGCGGGCAATGCAGCCTGGAGAGCACGGGAAAGAGGAAGGCACCCGCGCGGTTCTCCAGGAAGGGCGCCCACGGCAGCACAGACGGGAACAGAGGTCAGATGCCTTCCCTCTGCGTGGATGTGCTCTAAGTCGGTATCGTTTAACCGATCCCCATCCCCATCCCCATCGCCTTTGAGACCCCCACCAAATGACCACCCCAGTTGGGGATGCACCCCTCGAAGCCCGAAGGGGACGACCTGTATCCCCATCTGGGGGGGGTAAATCGGCCAGTGGGGCCCAGGCCACGCCGCTGGGGATGGGGATCGGCTAAACGATACTCACTAAGACCTGGGAGAGATGGCCCCCCGAAGAGGGGGTCAAGATGGCGTCGACTGCCGAGAAAGCCCTCCTCCGCGGTGCCTCTCCCAGGACGTGCCGTCGGCCAGGGAGATCGCCGCCAACATGGCGAACATGCTCCTGGTCCCGCCAGCCGCCGTGCCCTGGCGCCTCGTGCCGGACACCTCGGGGGCCCCCTGGTGCCCTGGCACAGCGAGGGCAATGGATCGGAGGTTGATAGACCTCCTACCCTGACACGTCGATTAAGGAATTGGCCGTTTGCGGTTCGCGAGAGGGCGTCGCGGCCGTCATTGTTGCGGGTCCAGGTCCGTCGGTTTCGGTCCTAGGCCGTTTTCACTCAGGGGAGGTCTATTAAAGGGAGGTTTGTCCACCGCCGAATGGACAGTCACCACCCACCAAACCACCCCGACCCAACCCGAAGGCCCAAATTTACCCTCGATTTCCAGTGGGGGGGGGGTCGGGAAACGTTGAAAAAACACGTGTGGAACCCTTACCCCCCCCAACCCGAAATTCGGGTCTTCGGGTTGGGTTGGGGTGGTCTGGTAGGTAGTCAGACAGGGAACACCCGGAGAAGAAGTCCAAGAGTTTGGAAGCCTGTGGCACACTGGCGGAGGCTTGGCCACGGACATCGCCGCCGCCCACGTCAGACGAGGCGCCCTCCAGGGTCCGAGCGAGGCCTCCTGGGCACACTCCTGCACGAGCTCCCCCACCGTAGAAAGGCTCGCCCCACGCTCCCCCCCACCCCGGCCTGCTCGCGCCGCGAAAACGACCCCGCGGAAGTCTTTTTCTGCCGTCTCCGGCCTTTGGGGGGCCCTCGCCGTGCCCCGGGACAGTCGAAACACGATGCGGGAGACTCGGGGTGAGAAGCTGACCCTGGGAAGAAGTGTCGGGGATTCCTGGGGCCCGGCGTTGAGGAACTCAAGACGTCGGAGGTCTGGGCCGCCCTTCCCCCCTCCCTCCTCCCCTCTCCCCCTCGCCCCGGCTGGCCTGTTCCAGCTTTGCGATCCCGCGCTGGGGCGTTCCCCCCCTCTTCCGTCCGCTCCTCCTCTCGGGGCCCCCAATATGTGCTGTGACAGCACCGTGGATTCGGGGTCACCACGGCCTCCAGGGTTCCAGAACCGTGCGGTGACAGACTGTGCGGTGAGGTCTTGGGGGATTCCGAGGTCACCGCAGGTCTGTCGCCACACGGGGTTGGGACCCACAATCGTCCGCCTTCCAGCCCCCCCCTCCCCCTCTCCCCCTTCCCCTCCCCACTGCGTCCCCAGCACTGCCGCAGTGCGTCCGGCAGCACAAGTGTGTGGTGCCAGACCCACACGGCGGAGGGGTGGGTGGGTACGTTACGTGATGCCCCACTTCCAGGCCCCCACCCCTCCCCCTCCCATAACGCCTTTTAGCGCCCCGAATGAACAAGTGTTCTCATCGTCTGCCGCCGCCTCCTCTTCTCTCTTTCGGCTTCTGTCGCGGCGGCCGCGGACTGGTCGAGCCTCTCGCTGCTGCTGCTGCAGCGCCGAGGGCACGAGTTGTCTCTTCCGTGCGGTTCCCTTCTGCTACTGCTGCTCCAGAGGAATACGGAAACATTCGAGGAAGGGACGGAGGAGGAGGAGGAGGAGGAGGAGGAGGAGGAGGAGGAGGAGGAGGAGGAGGAGGGGGAGGTGGAGGGGGAGGAGGAGGAGGAGGAGGAGGGGGAGGGGGAGGGGGAGGAGGAGGAGGAGGAGGAGGAGGAGGAGGAGGAGGAGGAGGAGGAGGAGCTGCACACGGTTGTGGCAACTGTACAGTGCCATGTGGTGCCGCCGGCCCGTTTGTTGTACGCTATCCCCCACCTTGGAGATGTGGCGTGCACCGAAGAAGCGCCGGCAGGGGGGTGGCGTGCACGGGCGGATCCCTCGCGTGGTGATCGCCCGACTCACCACCCACCAAACCACCCAAAACCCAACCCGAAGGCTCAAATTTACCCTCGATTTCCAGTGTGGGGGGGGGATATCGAAAAAACACATGTGGAACCCTTACCCCCCCCCCCGAACCCGAAATTCGGGTCTTCGGGTTGGGTTGGGGTGGTCTGGTAGGTAGTCACTGACAGGGACGGCGTGCACGGAGGAAGCCTCGTTTGGGGGGATAACGTGCTTTTCTTGCACCCTACCTTTGCGTCGCCAGCCGTGAACACAAACTGTCCGTGCTCCGCGGGAATTTCTCCGATCCAGGAAATCCGCGCGGACCTCCGACATGTTGTGTTTATGTCATGTGCTGTTCCTCTAAACGTAGCCGTGCTGATCGGAAACACAAGATACAGCGTTTGTGTTGTCCTTAATCGGGACCTCGTAGGGTCCAACAACTTCTTGCGGCTTGGGGGAGTTCGTCTGGATTTCGTCGGATTTGGTCGACATTTGGACGACATCCAGACGAAAGGGCGAATGGGGTGGTCGAACTTCTGACGACATCGGGCCGAAATCACGTTTATGTTAGCTGCTCTAGCGTGTCTTGGTTTACGGTGCCCTGACTCCGCGCGCCAGAGAAAGGAGGTCCTGCGCCGATCCAAGAGTTTCGCGCAGATCTCCGAACATGTATGCTTATGCCATGTCTTGTTCCTCTAAACACGCACATATCGCATGACGAAATCTGTACATATCCGCAGCCCCCTGCCGAGCCCTTCTGGGCCCAGGAGCTGTGTATACGCCCTCCCGGCCAGGCCAGGAGGGCGTGGCGTACATACCGCTGCTGGGTTCAGGATGGACATGGCCAGTGTGCAGTGGATACGCATGGAGTTGGTCGCCCTGACGTGCTCCCTCGAAGCGCACGACATGGCACAGCCTCCAGTTCCTGCTCCTCCGTCTCTCTAGGCCTCTTAGTTAGGGTCCGAGTAGATGGGGTCGGAGCATCGCGCCGCATCGCCGATGCATCGACGATGCGGCCCGATGTGGTGCCAGTCCCACCCCACGCCGACGACGCCGATGCATCGGCAGTGCGTTGGCGATGCGGCGCGTCGACCACATCTGCTCGTACCCCACCTAGGAGGCCTCCAGTCTCCGCTTCCGCCCTGCGCCTCCTGGTCCCTGCACCTCCGCCTGGGGGTCCGCGCGTCGCGTCGTACCCCATCCAATGCGCGGTTCTCTGGAGGGGGGCGGGCCGTACAGCGCTCACCCGCCGCGTCCCGTTTTGCGGCCCCATAGCCCGGAAGAGAAGCGCACCGCGGTATCGCGGCAGCCAGGCAGCAGCAGCAGCCAGGCAGCAGCAGCAGCATCAGCAGCAGCAGCAGCAGCAGACGGCGAGAGGAGAGTCCCAAGCTCCGTCTGCTTCAACGACCACAGCATGCATCCGCCTCCGCAGGGGGGATACTGGAGGCGGAGGACGACACCGGCGGCGACGACGAGGACGACGACGAGGAGGAATGCGGAGGGAGACCAAGGAGGAGGAGGGAGGGAGGAGACAGAGCAGACCAAGGAGGGAGACCAAGGAGGAGGAGGAGGGAGGAGGGAGACCAAGGAGGAGGAGGAGGAGGGAGGAGGGAGACCAAGGAGGAGGAGGAGGAGGAGGAGGAGGAGGAGGAGGAGGAGGAGGAGGAGGAGTGGGGCGGAGGTTGGGGCCGGCCGGGTGTTCGCAGGTGGCCCAGCACTGGTTCCGAGCCAGCGGACGGGAGGGGGCGAGGTGCGAGGCGCCCGTGGCCGTTCTCGGCCGCCAGGGGGGCGGCGGCGGGCCCCCGGGCCGTCGAAGAGCGGATCTGGGGCGAGGCACCGCACCAGGCAGACGTTTGTTTTTGATGTTGATTCTCACGTGTTTCTTGTCTTTATTTTGTTTTTTTGTCCGTTCAGCGACAGCGTCAGGTCCAGAGACCCGATGGCAGTGCAGTGTTATATATATATATATATATATTGTTTACATGCTTAGTTTTGATTCAAAGAGAACTGTTTTCAAGTTTCGTTTTTGTAGCGCGGTTCAACAAGAAGAGAGACATTTCCGTGCAGTTGTTTCTCACCTGGTGTGGGCCCGGGGGCCGATTTTGAGCGTTGTTGGCTCCGTGGCCCCCCCCCCCTCCTCCTCCTCCTCCTCCTCCTCCTCCTCCTCCTCCTCCTCCTCCTCCTCCTTCTCCTCCTCCTCCCCCTCCTCCTCCTCCTCCCTCCCCCTCCTCCTCCTCCTCCTCCCCCTCCTCCTCCCTCCTCCTCCTCCTCCTCCTCCTCCTCCTCCTCCCTCCCGCTCCTCCCCCTCCCCCTCCTCCTCCTCCTCCTCCTCCTCCTCCTCCTCCCTCCTCCCTCCTCCTCCTCCTCCTCCCCCTCCTCCTCCTCCTCCCCCGCCCCCACCTGGCCGATTCTCCGGGCCCCCAGCCAGCGCAGACCCCCGGCCGCGGAGGAGCCGAGCAGCGCGGCCGGCCCGCCGGCCGGCCGGGGCGGGCCCCCGACGGCTCGGGGGGGCCCTTCTGGCAGGCCAGGGCGTCCACAGGCCAGGCTTCTGCCAGGTGCAACAAAAACCAAGGATTGCAGAAAAAAACAAAGGATTGCAAAAAAAGGATTGCAAACACCGAAGGATTGCAAAACAACCTTCGAAGGATTGCAACAAAAAATCGATGTTGTTGCAATCCTTCGTTCAAAGTTTTTTTTTTTTTTTTTTGTTTTGCAATCCTGGTTTTTGTTTGCAATTCTTCTTTGCAATCCTTCGGGAATCAGGAGCGAAAGAAGGACGTAAACGTACAGGAACCCACGCTGGTTTCGAGAGTGCGCATTGCGCAAATGTTCGTATCACGCGGCCAGTCTCGCGGATCGAGGGGCCGTGCTCATGTGCACGTCCTTTGTGGGCTCCCTAGGGAGGCGGCAGAACATGAAGGGTGCCTCGGTCTGCGGCCGCAAGCTTTCTCGGGCGTGCCGAGGGCCTGGCTCCTCTCAGGAGGGGAAAACACACACAGACACAAATAATCGTCGATTCCCCAGAAAACATGGGAAAATATGGGCAGTGGGGGGGAAGACAAAAACCCAGAACATATGGGAAAATATGGGGAATATTTTTATTCGTGTGTATTTATGTGTGTGTGTGTGTGTGTGTGTGTCCCAGGGCCCCTTCATCCTCAGAGTCTCCGCTCTGCGGGGGCGTGAGCGGCGCGCGGAGGCGGGCGCTCGCGCAGACAGTCCAACGGGCCAGTT